AAAACCAGACAGTTCTAGCTTATTTAGCGTCTGAGGTATGAACAAAATAAAAAAGGTCATTAAGGTGGTTGATCAATTTTGGTATCCACTGTGTATCACCGCTGACTGCTGCAGGACAAAATCAAGTTTAAAGCAAACCAGATCAACATACCGAATGTTTATAAAACTTGACCCATATAAAATTTTTGTTCCATGTTTCTTGATAAAATGCATGATAATGATTGAATGATACAAATACAGTTACAATTGAAAAGATGAATTTATTAGAACCTAAAATATAATTAACATTAATATTGTTGAAACGCAAAAATGAACCTTCGGGCAAGCTTAGGACAACGGAGAGAGAAATAATCATTTCCGATTGTTTGATTATGTAATTTTATATGTCCACAGTGTGTGTATTTTGTGTAAAAAAAAGGGTATGGTTGTCCTTCCTACTTAAGCCCACATTTACCCACATCCGCGCCACTCACACTCCATCCCCACGCTCGATATAGGTGAAAAACAACAGAACAAATGTAAACTTACGTCATCGTATAGTAAAAACAGGGTGGCCAGATCTTCTGAAAAGTAGGGAAACTTTCTGAAATTTGAAGTTCTTTCTGAATTTCTTCTGCTCTTCTGATTTTTTCTGATTGTAGTGTTTCCTTCTGCATTTTCCCGAATTCGACACTACTTTCAGATCCCAGCTTTGCTATTACAGTTCAGGAAAGTTACAACACATTACCATTATAGATGAATATTGCGCCACTTTTTTCTCAATGATCCGTCGGTTATTTCTGAATCATATAGACAAGTTCGGCTACAGAAATGCGCTAGAACTTTATAATTTTTTATTTCAACCGTCTTATTTGATTAAACATTACACAGACAAAAGCTAAACTATTGAATAGTGGGCGTTAACATGATCGGAGTTGATTCTGAAGAGAAACAAAGCGAAGTAAATTCATTACCATCAGCAACATCATCTCGAGTAAAGAAAAAAAGAAGTTCTTCGTAAAGATTGGGTATTCATTGACGAGTATTCATCTTGGTTACAAACAATAAATAAAACATTTAACTAGAAATACTAATAATTATTCTTGCAATTAGTTTTAGAAAAATATATTATTTCACAAAAAAATTGCTGAAGCAAGTTCGAAAAATGGAAAATATAACTAAGGGTTCAAAAAGTGTGTGCTACATAATCTTTTTTTTCTTGAGTTTCTTAACTTAGAGAGTACATATATGTATATGAGTCTTTTGTACTTTCTCGTGTATATATTTTTCATCTAGTGAAAAAATTCGACGCATTGTGTCTTCTATTAGTTGTTTTTCTAGCATCAGCTAAATGTTATTTTCACTATATTGTCTTTCTTTATAGTGAAGAACCTTTGAAAATAAAGTACAGATGAATGAAATAAACGTAGTGGAGCATTTGATGTCAGGAATTGAACATGGAAGTCGCTAGTTCGAAGAAAAACAGTCTTTCTGATAAGTTTCTGATTTTCCGAAAAAATTTTCTGATCATTTTCCGATTTTCATAAAAAAGTTTCTGATTTTTGAATTTTCGATCTGGCCACCCTGAGTAAAAAATATATTAGCTCACTAGTTACAAATAGTCTATATGTATGCTATACGAAAACGAAAAAACATTCGATGATGTGTTATATATTTAGTCATCATTGAATAGTGCAGAATGTAATTGTACCATGTCAGTTTTATCCAACATACCGTTAGTCTATACAGAATTTATTTTTGCAGTTTTTCTGCAAAAGTATGGGTGTGAGTGAAATAACACCCCGCACTCACACCTATACGGACGCCTATACCCACAACCATATTCACACGCACGGCTCACCCGAATTTCACCAATAAGACTTTCGCCAATATATCCTGAAGGCTTTCGTCCATTGGCAAGAGTGCAATACACATGCACAAGTGGAACTTGTAGATGAACTCAAAACAGCAAGATAAACTCTGACATTCCATCCACCTCACAGGAATCAAACATTTGTACTCATCTGTGACAAATGGCAAGTCTTATTGGTGAAGTTTGAGAATCCCACACCCACACTGACACACGCATTCACACCCAATAGTCGCTAATATTTGTAATTCGTTAGTTTGGCAATGAGAGCTTTAACTTGACCCGAATATGCGTAGTGTCTTTCACTTACAATACAAACACTCCCATTGTAAGTATCACGAATCATTAATGTCTCTCAAACATGTCTTTCAATTCGTCCTTCTGTTGTCATTGAACGTAGTTATGCTTTATTTGGAATCCACGCGATGCCACTTACTTCCTAGAAATGTGTTTTCCCTAATACCTTTGATTTGTTCAGCAAGTTTTTTTATGATCTTGTTTTCTACTAACAAGTCTAGAGTTCCGTATAATCTATTGGCACCGCAAACAATATCACCCCAATTTAAATCGATGACACCAGATGCTTTATCGATTTTTCCAGCAGCTACATTACACCATCGACCTTCCGGATGATATCCTAACCAAAATATGAGTTCATTAAATTGGCTGATATAATAATTACCACCATCATTACATTTCCAATGACCTGTCAGCTCGTCAGAAGTGCTACTCCAATATATAGGAAGCCCAGTAGGAATAGGGTCTTGATGGTATTGTGCTGATACTCGACTCCACGACTTTGTGAGAAAACTATTTTTCGTATCGAGTATCTTAGTCATTGTTGCATAATCAAATGATATTTGTATATCAATATCACCTGTGTAGCGATCTCTTCCAGTCGGTATATCGCCGAATGCTAAGTGTATAACATCTTCATCGTCAATAATTCCATAGCCAACGTGAGACCAGCTATAGTCTCTATTTTGACTTGATCTTCCATACCAAAAAACTTTTCGTCCATATTGACAAATAAAATAATCGCCATCATCATTCGATTTCCATACGCCGGATAAATTTCGAACAGTCGCTTCCACTAGTAATACTGGTATTTGATATTCTATTCCTCTATGTTTCTCAGTTTTTGTGCCAAGCACACGGAAATATGTATATGGCTTTAATAATACTTCAGCTTCTCTTGGATAAGCTGACTTATCACTAATATCACCACAACAATGTGAAAATATTTTTGGAATTATTATTTCAAAAACTGTATTGCATTGAGCAAACTGCGCAGCGACAGCAAATCTTTTCGATGCTGATGAAAATCCAGACCAAAAAAATGTTCGATCCTTTTTATACTTTGCTAATTGTACAGTATTTAGTAGAAATCCTCTATACACTGTACCATGAAATGGATACGAATTTAAAGCATTTATTAGAACATTTATATAAGGATAAATTACATCTAGTTGTTCTTTGTTATCGCTTCTAATGCAACTATTCATTTCGTAAACAAGAAATGTTTGCCTTGTATATGCCAATATGCATAAAGTTGGCTCATCAGTACTATTTTCTAGGAATGGATTGGTCACTTCGTTGATCTCATTCTGGTTACGTTTGATGAGTTTTCCAAAATATCGAATTGCTTCGATAACGCTACCAGACCGTGATGCCTCGAAAAGTATTTTGAAATTAGTAGAAACAGTATCCGAATAAGAATTTGGTCCTTCAATAGCTCGAAATCTATGTTTACCATCACGCTGCTGTCTCTCTTCAATGTGAGTGTCCATTGAAAATAATCTTCTACTTGATTTCAGTTAAAATCTAAAAAGCACAAATGTTCCTAATTATATTAAGAGGTCTGAATAATATCCCCTAAAAAGCGGCAAACTGTTCCGCTTGCAGCAACAATACTTCACCTCCAACAAATCCAAAGTGCAATCTTTTTCTAGATACTGACATCTATCATTTCAGAAGATTCACACGACGAATATCCATTGTTATCCTGACAAGAAGAAGTGAACAATCCCTTAAACAGAAATGAATCGAATTTCCCTTTCATCTCAAGAATAATTTCTGGTATAAATTGATTTTTCCCAAGAGAAATGAAAAATTTTATGGGAACCGGTAACTGTGCATGAAGCTGCGCTTTTTTATTGGCCCACACTCTTATTCACACATCATATTTCTTGCAATCTTTTTAAATCAGTATTCCCATCATATAGTAGCTTTGTTTCTGACGCTTAAAATACTCTTTCTACGTAGTCTAAGGAATTTTTATAATAAGTTACTCATCGATATGAAATAATCAAAATCAACTATACCGTACGAATTTCAGTCATACGACCTTCCAACTTTGTCGAATGTCGTGTGTGCGAGGCGAGTTTCATTTTACTTGTATGACTTATTTGTTTTTTTTTACGTCAGAACAACGCTACGGTCGTTTACTGGTTGTTTACGCTTCATTTGCTCTTTTTCTTTTTTTTTCTTTTCAGCTGCACATTTTTTTTTTCGGGAGAACAGAACAGCAATATTATTAAAGTATTCAAATAACAAAGCGTATATAACTGATTGTAAGTATGTAGAAATTCAATTTACAGTTAGTATATATACTTATGTCAAACTCTCTATGAAACTTAGTTATTGACATTGTTGAAAAAGCGGGTTTGGATGTGGGTGTGGGATGAGTGTGTATAACTACCACGATATCAAGGATATTTCGCTGTTGCTGAAATAATCGTATCAAGTAGCAGTAGATGCTAGTATAAAAGATTCAAAACTAATAAAATCTTGAATTAATACATAATATCATTTTCTATTTTCCAAAGAAATAGAATCATCTTTTAATGGTTTTTGTTGTGCATGTGTGTGTGCGGATAACAACAGTAACACCCGCATCTTAGTGGAAGATGGCACATATTATAAAATGTAAGACATTTAATTTTTAACAGAGAATTTATTTAATAGTCGATAATAAGTAACCTTCGCAAGACCGATGTACTATTTAGTATCCTTTGTTTAAAAAATTAAGATACAAATTGTTACCTTTCATTGGTAATTGCTAAACACATAACAAAGAATAATTTTGCATTCGAAGGAAAAAAAACAAGTGATGAATAGGATTTATCCTTTTTTGCAACAATGAACTTGCTTATTTTCTTTGTTTTTGTGAGCAAAATATGGTATAGAATAGTTACAATTATCCAAACCTATTTTCACTTTGGGTTATAGACTTTATATATTGACGATTATAATACACAGAGAAGTTATTCAAGAAAAAAAGACATATGAAGTCTTTAACTAACTATGATATCAAACAAAAATTTGTTTAAGATAAATGATAAAGACTCTGTTATCTGTTCGGTTTATTGAAACTATCATCCTCTTATGTATATATATGCATGATACCAATCTGACAAAGCTTATGTGAAAAGAGAAGGAGTAAATAGTGTAAAATAAAATGCCAATAAGATAAACATGCGCATGAAATTAAACAATCAAAAATATTTCATCACCTTCTTTTTTATATGAAAAGCCCAAAAAAATGGGACCTTATATAATGAAACGAATATGAAAACCAATGTGTTCTAGTTTGATGGATTTCAAGAAAAATGGTTTTTTTTTTTTATTCAGAATTATCGAACTAAAGCGATAAAAATCAATGTTTCAATTCATGAACCCGAAATACCCTTTTCCTCCTACAGAATAGAAATCCATACCTACAGGAAGAAAAGGAGAAGTACTGATGTGATCTAATCTAAGGAAAGGATCATATTTAAAGTAATCTGTATGCTCGATGTATGAGTGAAAGGCTATTTGTAGTCATTTCCATTCGCAATGAGACAGTTCAAGCAATGCTCAGATCTTCTTTTGAACGTATTTCTTAACCAATTTGTTAGTATGCATTTTTACTAAAGTCGGTTATTTCGTAAGCGTTAATAGTTGATTTCTTTCATTTTATTTTTCTCAGTTTAAATGCAAAAATATTCTGTCGAAGTATTTCATACGTTCGACAGTGGAGCACATGAAAGCAAAGAACAAAAAGCGCTTTGTTTTTCGATTTGGTTTACATCTATCATCATGTCGTACTGGCAAAACGAGTGTTGCTTCCCTAGCAGATGCTTCTCAATCATACTTAATAAATTTATTACAGAGACACTCACATTAACATTCACGACCTGAACGCACATCCTAGTACATTCATTCTATAGATAACGACATCTGTGATTGAATTCTACCATAGGTAGTTTCTTATTGACAATACTAAAACCAATTACTGTTGCATTCATTTAGAAGGAGTGTCAATTGAGAACACTATATACATGCGTTTTTTCTTCCTCTTTTTTTTAGTGTCAATAAAATACTTTTGCTTTGTTTTTTTTGCCATAGCGTGTTATGCTTTATCTCTTTTCTAGCATTTTTCTGCATGCACAAAACGCAAACGTGACATCGACATCAATATACAATATTTTTCTCTTTTCTATAAGTTAATACAATGCATAAATGGTAATATAGTAGTCTGTGAAACGCTGTACGACGATTCAAGTCGATAGATCGTACAACATTATGTCAAAATTTCTCCATCTGGATTGTTATATCTAAATGTTTATGTATTAGGTGTATAATGAAAAAACACTCACGTACACACTTGAGTAGTTGTTAATGAAGCCATTGGTAAAGTTGAAATTTTGATTTTATTTTCAATGTGGATGAGAATCTCCTGCTCACCTATATCTACATTCACACTTCAAAATATCTAATCAATATTTTGGCGATATTTATATTTCTGTCTATCGACATATAAACCCGAGAAAATTTGCGACGAAGATTAAGAGTTTACTTTCGCTTCGAGTTCTAGACTTTTTTATATGTAGATCCACAAATTTCATTAACTTTCACATTAGGTAACGAAATACCGTTTTTAAGAATTAATACATGCATAATTTAAACTATGAAAGTTCAAATTTTCATTGAATTCAATTATCAAGTTTTATATCATTAAACAGAATAATCATCTAAGATGAAAATAGGATGTGGTTATCTGGTTGCGTATGTTTTTACATCTAAAATCCTATCCATTGAAACGCTATCATATCTAATATTGATTTTGTCATCGGTTAGAGTTGTTTATAAAAATTCGACTTTCTTAACGAAACTTGTACACTGATTCAGATAAAACAATGACAAGTGTTGACGATGATGATGACATACAAGAACCTCCTACAATGTCTATGGTACTATTAGAAAAACCTAATATTACTTGGCAACATCAATGGTCATTTAGTGAAACACAAGATGCTATATCACAGTCACCATTTGCTGCTATTCCTAGTGAAATCATGTTGCATATTTTTCAATTTCTTTCCGTGCCTGATTTATGTAATATCTCATTGGTTTGTCGATCTTTCAAAATGTTCGCTGATCAAGATGAGATCTGGAAATTAAAATGCACAAGTGAGTATGATACCTATTAATTTCAGTTAAAATTAATTGATTGATTTAATTTTCAATAGTGTCAAAGAAATTATATTCGAAACCATTCAAACAAATCTATATGGAATGGATACATGAAAAATGTTTACGTAATGCGGAATTTCGATATCAACCAAGATGGTACACAACCGCATGTATCAGATGCTTACCTCCATTATATCCACTGCGTTCAGCAGCTAACTCTCAATTTGAACCTGTTGGTGGGTTTGATAAGCATCCAAATTCGTCATCAAACATGTGAGATCAGTTTTTCTACATATATCATCTAAAATGTATTCTTCATGAGTCCATATTTTCTTTTGCTGCTGGAAAAAGAAATTATTTTTTCTAATACTCTAATCAACTTTGACATATTCCTAGATTCCTTGATGTCATGTTGTACATTGAAATTTTCATGTCTAATTCAAGTAGTTTGAAGTGTATGAAAATGTGTCAATATTTATCATCTGTTTATTGTGTAGGACTATTGAAATATCCGTTGATATTGATAAGACAGCTCGTGAACTAATCCAATTGTTAGAAAAAGCATCTAAATTTCAAGAACTATGGGAAAAATCGTCGATTTTAAAACAAATGATAAAACGATATTATCGTTTTATGCAGTTGAAGGCATCTTTACCAACAAATATTCTACTGATTCCAACTTTGGATATTGAAATTATCTGGCAAACTCATTTACTTCGACCAGATTTGTATCAAGCGGATTGTTTACGTTGGTTTCATCGCATAATTGATCATACATTGCTAATTAATGACACTGAACAGTTTTTCAAAAAACAAGCATTTTTCGATACTTGCCAATTATACGAACAACGATTTGGCGAACCATATTGTTGCTTACCATCAGTCGAAGAGAAAAAAGAGACTGATTCAGATTTCCATTTTGATCTATATGATGCTAATAATAAAATGAATTACAGTTATTCTTATTGGGATAAGACACAGTTCTACTTTTCATCACGACCTCCAACAGATTACGAGAATCCTTTCTCGTTTACTGAAGCTGACATTATCTTAGACAGTAGATGGCTGGATATGTGTAAAAAATTTATGTTTGATACATTGAAGAACGTTCCTGTTGAACATAGTTATTATCATTCATCGAAAGAAATCGATCTAAGTGTTGGGGCAATGAAACGGTTAATGAAATCTTATGAACGATTTTTGTATATGGCTGCCAAATATCCATTGATAGATGGCAATGGTTTTGTACCTCCAACATATGCGGTATTAATTATTGAACACAATATTATATTTGTTTTTTTTTTGTTTATATATGAACTTTTTAAAATTCTAGATTGATATAATGTGGCATTCTCATATGCAAGAACCGTTGAAGTATATTGCAGATTGTCATCGTCTTGTTGGTTATGTGATTTATCATGCACCATGGCCAATTATTGAAGACAATACAATGAAGAAATCACAAGAGAAAACAAATCAAATATGGAAAGATGAATTTGGTAGTGGCATACAAACAGATCATTTGTATAATACTATTGATCAACGGGTTGACTGGGATTAAGATAGTAAATGTATGCAAAATATTTTACTTTAGAAGTAAACTTTCATTTTATTTAATCAAGAATAAATTGTAATTATACATAAATATTAATCTATATTTTATCAAATCATTTTCATTTCAGAATCATTTTGAATAAATTTCACAATCTCTTATTCATATTGAAATATGATATATTATTTTGTTTCTATAAACATAATTAAGTCAAAAAAAGAAAATCCTTAATTTTGTATATTGAAGTCTCTAAATTATATTCTTTTCATTCTATTGATGATGACAAGGCACAATGAAAAATGATGTTTGATTAAACTATCTTGATTACAAATTTGTTAGGTATTGAAAATTTTTCTCAAACTCATTTTGAATTTGAAATTCTCATTCTAGCAAATAGTCCATTTTATTTCGAATAAAATAAAAAGCTGATAATAAATCAAGATAAGAATTGTTGAAAATAGAAATATTGCTTAAACGTCATGGAGGAAAGAGTGGTATTTGAGTATCAGAGATGAATTCTGTGTTGATTTTTATTGGAAATCAATATTAAAATTTCTATGTCAAAAAAAAAAGAGAAAAAGTTATACTTTCATCATTTTTTTGAGCTCAAAACTAATTGAAATAGTGTCATGTTGTCCAACTTTTAATTACAAAAAAATAAATTATAACCAATTAAGTTCGAAAAATTAGTTCTAGCCATCAACTTCACCTCTTTTTCCTTTTTTCTTTAAAATTCCTCTTTTTTTTCCTCTTTTTTATCAAAAAAATAAAGGGTACAGAGAAAAACTTAGTATAGATAAATGTTTTCAGCAATAGTAGGTTTATATATAATAGTGAACACTGATTTTTTTTTCTTGTTTTTCTTTTTCATACTGAGAATACACTAGACCTGTTAAAATACTAGATGCAACTTTCTTAGATAGAAAAAGAACGAAAACGAAACTAAATTACAACGGGGTAGGCAAACGCAGTAAAAGATGATGAACAGTAACTATATGAACTTCAATCGACTTGACGGTGGATATGGGTGTAAAGTTTGTGAGAGTTGATGTGAGTGTAATTTTTCTGCTTGATTCAGCCCACATCCACATCCAACATGTATAAAACTAGAACAACAAATGTTATTTATCAGAGACTATTTGATAAATATATTTCAAAACATAACATTCCCGTTTTTCAGAAAATGGTTAGCGACTTTGTACAATAAGGACTATTAGATGACCAAATCGACAAAATCTATGTGAATACGTTGTCTCATATTCTGACGGACCATCTCTTTAATTAAAAATAAATTTGCAAGTGAATACTATCCTAACAATGACAACAAAGGCAACCTAATGCTGTATTGGCTTCATTTGATTCTTTGTGATTGCAAATCTCATTGCCATGAAATTAACAAAAAAATCTTTTTCTTCTGTCGCATGTAAAAACTTTGTTTTTCGTACTCTTATCCAAAAATTGAGCTCACTTTAGAAGAATGTAAGATACTGACGAACGAATCTTAATAAAGATTACGAAACACGTCTGCAACTAAACACTGCATTCTTTCATTTAACTTCGAGGAAAACAATTCTCTGCTAGTAATATTCATTGAATCAGCAAGTACTGAAAAGCATGAGTTAAGATACCAAAGATTCGATTTGTTTAGGACGATTCTGATGTATGATTCACTTTCCCTTCTAGATAATTTGAAACCCATTGTCAATTGTGTGTTATATTATTGCCGTAGAAAGTTTCATTAATTTATTGTAATAATAGATCGAAAAACGGTTTTAAGGAAAATAGCTAGAGATATAATAAGAAATAATGAACAAAATAAGACAGTTGGATATTGAAGGATAATGTGTGCAGCAAACAAAAACAATGGAATGAAATATCAAAAGCTGCTTGTGATGTTTATTTACGTTTTTAGCATGATTCATGTATATTTCTGCATTGTTCAGATCATATTAACATTTTACCTTTTACCAGTAACCAAGTCTTTTTCGTTAGTTAATACGAATTCTTTAATCTCTTCTGGTGTACTATTCACGTTACGATTATTTATCCAGGTTTCTGTTGATAGAACATACAAATCAGTAGTATTGAGAGCCTCATAATCAATGCCTAGTCCACCAGTAACTAACACTTCTCCATTTGTTAATATGGATGAGGTGTGGGTGTGAGTTTGAGTTTGTTTCTATCCGAAGTCATACCCACACCCCACACTCACACGCACCCCCCACGCCACACACGCAGACCCATACCCATACCCACACCTACACTCACAGTCACAGTCACAGCCCAAATTTTCAGCATACCAACAATCGTACTCTCAAATACGTTATCCATATCGTTTTCAATCGTTTAGTATCAATACATTACGATTCATTGAAGAATAACTTACTAGTTTCCCAACAGACTGAATAAGCTGATTGGAAAAATCAATGTACATTAAAAAGATTGAACTGATCTACAAGGGTGGCCGGAATTTCGGCCCACGAATTTTTTGTCCTGGACTTTCGGCCCGGGCCGAAATTCCGGTGATTTTTCGGTCCGGGCCGAAAGTCCGAAAGGAATTTCGGACTAAAACTTAATTTATCTAATTAATTTTGTAAATAATTAGTAAAATTCATGGTGCTCAGCACTATGCACCTCCAATAAACCGTTGTGCTCAGCAGTATGACATGGTGCTGTGCAGTATGACATGATGCTCAGCAGTATGACATGGTGCTCTGCAGTA